GCCTCTGCCGCCTGAGCTCCCTCTGCCGTTGTTTCTTTGAAGCAGTTAACATGTAGACTCCACCTGTGCCCGACCCCTTGTACATGCACCGCAGGCAAAGTATCATCCCACCAAGACTCCCAACCTATGCCCCGGAAGCAACGACAGTGAACTGGGCCAGCCACAATGTTCTGCTGCTGCCGAAATTGGTGGATTGTTCTCCTCGGCGCTGCTTTTAAACCTAAGAGAGGCCTCATGAGCAAAACCGGCTCGAACGAGCTAGCCTGACCGAGCCCCTCAAGACGAAGTGCCTTGCTGCAAACTACCTCTGCCACCACGTTCAGGATACTGCTGCCGACAATTCCTCACATTCCTCACGTCTTCGGCATGCATGCGGCTGTAATTGGCCTTGCGTGCACATCGGAAATGGTGGGGCTTGAGGCCTAACTAAGTCTTGGCCTTTGAATACACTTGAGTAGTCTTCATTCCCAGCAACTCCTTAGCCAGAGCTTGGTCTCACACCTTATCCGGACTTCCGGATGTTTCGCTTGAGACCTGGAGCTGAACAGGAAATATTCGCCTCGGACCCAAGCGAAGCCGTCAGAGAATCCCACAGCCCCCACCCCCGCCCCGCCTCCTGCCTGATTTCATTAACTTGAGAAGAGGGCGACGAAAGCCAGGGGAAAGGAAGCGTAGCTGGGAACACGGGGTGACTAGTGACTAGTGAGGCGATGCGAATGACTTGCACGGGGGGGACGTTTGACATGAAGACTACAACTGAAAAAAAGGCGGCAGCGCAAGCAACAGACTTCAAACAGAAGCAAACTGAGGGACCTTGCGAGGGGGGAGGGGGAGAGACTTGAGGGTAGGGGGGAGGGCCCCCCCCCGCCCTCTACCTTATCCCACGCGCCGCAACCTTCAAGGAGGGAGGGGAGGGAGGTGGGTGGCGCGCCGCACCTTATCCTTCGAAGATACTTCATGAACGAGCCCCACCCCCCACCTTAACTCTTGGACGTCCCACCTGACAAGGTGCAAACCCTGTTTTTTCCCTAGTGCCTTAATACAAGGAGAATTGCTAAAGGACAACTCCCGCAAGCTCAACAGAGCTAGCTTTCGTGACAACCTCCAAAGCACTGTGGGCAGCGGCACTCCCCCCGCCTCCGCCTCCGCACCCCCTGTCCTTCCTCTTTCTGCGTCGCTTTCTTCAGGGCATTGTTTGTGCATGCACGAAACACACCACCCAGTGAGTACGGTTGTCTGTGAACGTCTGTGCAAAGACCTCCTAGTCCCAGCCTTGGATGGAACTGAAACAACTCTTGTTGGGCAAGCTTCGCCCATGGCTGTCGAATTTCGAGGCCGCAATGCGAGGTTGGTTTGGACCCGTGCAGAACCCAAAACAACCCCTCGCCAGCCTGGGGTACTGTGGAGGGCGAGCCGCCCCGGGAATCAATGACGGACCTTTCAACGAGTCAGGAAGAGCTTCTGTTCGGGTTTGAGTGTGTCAGAAACAAGTTTTTCGCAACAGCTTGGGGTTTCGTTTTTTGTGTTCTGAGCCATTTCGTGGCTTCAGAAACTGAGGACTGATTTGCATAAGGGTCTCTTTCCTAAGGATTTAATTTTTTGTTGTGGTAGAAATTTGGGAAATTACTCCCATTCCTAAGGTGCTAAATTCTCAACATGCCCCATTGTCAAAGATGAGGACTTCGGCAAGCAGACAGATCCAGGTTTTATATCAAGGCTACGTATCCCCGATTCTCTCCGTCTCCAGATCCCTCGCAGCTGACCCTAGCTCTGGAGGCTTCGTGACCACGAAACAGAGAGCCCTGTCCCTTCAAACTCTCTCGGTGAGGTGGTCCTATGTCAGGGTCCATTTGCATCTCACGGCTGAGGGAGACTCGTTGGCAAGAGCCTCGTGCGGCTCGGGTTTCCGCAGGGTGGCTGTGTTTCTGGCACCACCTACCGGTGCACACGAAAGGTGCTGCAGTACCTGTCTCGGCACACAGCTCGTCGGTTCAAAACATTGCTTACGTGAAAATTTCCTGGGGTTTGGTATGCTGTTCGGATGCTAAGCTTGTTGCACCTGTTCTACTGCAAAGTTACGTTTGCGGAATTCGCCGTAGAATCCATGCGACGCCTGTGAAGGCCAGACTCGATTTGCTCTTGACCTGATCCTCGCGCGACCCTCCCCAACATCCCTGGCGTGCGAATGAGACCAGCATCTCATCCAAGAAACCAAAACTTCAAACTCTGAGGAGCCCGCAGTGTCTGCGAGGGACCTTCAGCTGCTCGGCTGGACCGTGAGCCGTGTGAAGCGGGCATGTCGAAGATAACACGGCTCTCGTTGTGTTGGCATCCACCGTGTGGGCCTTCACTGGAGTTCCTGAAACATCTGAAGCTCCACAAGATGCAAAATGTGAGAGCGAGAGAGAGACCAGAGGGAAACAAAGAAAGAGAGACGGAAAGAGTAATCGCCGATTGTAGACTGCAGGCACAGATTCAGATGAGCCAGGGCCACACTGGATCGTCTAAATATCCATAACCCAAGCCCCCAATGATACTCCGATGTTAACAGTTTCACCAAGGTGGAATGATTTCCGAACGCGTCCGTCCGTCCGTCAATTGGAAGCTCAACTCTTGCCCTTGCCGAGAGCTGCTGAAACCATTTCGACTCCACTCGTCAGTGACAGAAGCCGTGTTGATTTTTCGCGGGCTGAGACTCGGGCGGTGTGTCAAGGCCGGCGAGTTCGGCATGGCTGAATCCAGGGAGGAGACCTGAATGGTTTCACTGGGCCCTGCAACTCCAGAGCCCACACTCCGTTCTGAGACACCGGACAGAGCGAGATGAGGCTTCCGTCAACGAGGAAGGCGGTTGGGATTGCTGCACCTTTGCCAGATGGCTTTGGTGCCGGCCCGTCAGTGCTGCAAAGGTCAGTGTTGGTTTCAATGAACAAGTTTGCCTCGATATTGTCGGCTTCACTCGAACACCACACATCATACAGGGCCAACCGTTGTAGAGTTGAGGTCAAACTTTGGGCCTGAGGACTCTTTGCACCGAAAGCCACACCAGAAATTCAGCACCCACTCCAACATCTAGAAAAGCCCTGCAAGCAGCATGAGAGCTGAGTGATGCACTTGGACAAAGACCTGCGCAGTAGTGCTGTTGGTTGAGTCTACAACGGGATGCCCGACTTTGCTTAAGAAATGCTATTAGGGTATTGGTGTCATAGCATTCTGATCGTTGTGCTAGCTGGTGTTGAGGTTGTTGTCTCGGTAAACATTCCAGCGAGTGTTTCATTAGGTGTCCTGATCCCCTTCCGTGTTTGGTCGTCCCATGCAGGAAGGGTGCGGCAAGTCGCACGGGCTCGAATTGCGAGCCTGTGCTTTCCAACAAGGCCAGAAAAGAAGCAAAACTTGACCCAACCTCCAGCTAGAAGTGCCCAAGACTCGTCGCAGACTCATTGAACCCTAAACCCTAGCCGTGGAACCATTTGCCGACTTTTTGCCTGCGGTTGCCGCGTGGGTCGCTGCGCAGCTATGGATGTGGGCGACACCTGGGAACCGGAACAAGCTAGAGACCTGTACCGGCATGTCGTCCGGTCAACAGCCAGCCATGATCCACCGTCACCATACGTTCCTTGTATTTGCAAGTCTAACATCGGGATTGCGAACAAGTGCAAATACACACAGCAATAGAACCTCTGTAATGGACCATGGGTATCTTGTCATAAGTATTGTTCAAGGCCGGTATGGTATCGAAGCAGGCCCCAGCAATCATAATGCATATTGGATCAAGCAAGACACGGAAACAGAAGAGTTGCAGGAAGGATAACGGAAAACCACAAGATAATATCAAACACATACTTGTGGACAGCATGGGGAATCGAAGCTTTGCGACAATAGTTGTTATCCTGGCATGTTCTCGGTATGTGGCCAAATCCGTTCTACCACTCGCTGAACCTGGTAAAAAGCAGCGCAAAAAGAAGCGGGGCCTAATCTACTGCGTGCAGTTGTGTGTTAAATTCGGCCGGTGCGCTACGTGTCCAAACAACACCCTCAGCTTTTTCTTGGAACAAATGTCTTGTACTGTTGTAATGAGGAAAACACAGGAGCTGAGTTGCCCAGTGTTCTGAAGTCAACAACCCGAAAACCTAACTTAAATAACATAAACAATGCTTCCCTGCATCCGAGCATCCCAAGTGAAACTCTTCGACGGGATTGAAAACCCCTCCGGCTGCAGGAATTTTTCATACCTCACGCAGTGAAGGCCCGAAGCAGTCGGCTAGGGAAGGAAGCACGAGAAATACGTACAGTACACACACATACATACATGCATGCATACATACATCCTTACAAACACACATACGTTCAGACAAACAGACAAACATATCTACATATTCAACATCCTGATTCTTGACATCAGCCGATCTTCGTCGCGTCCAATGCGACGCTTTCACCCAAGCCCTAAACCCGTTTCAATAATCAGACCGGCGTATTGATACATCCACAAAGGTCACGCGACGGCAGAATTGCCGGGTTGGAATCAGTAGGCACTCGACCCATATCATAAACACGACACCTAAGCCTGAGCACAAGGTCCCAGAAGATCCCCACCATCCCTAACAACATAGGCACATCTTCTTTCACCGAATCGCCTTTTGATCACGGCGGTTTCGACGGATTTAAAGTCCACAAGTATCAGGGCCAGCTTCCCTTGTAAGCGGTCGTTAAAACTTTGAAAGTCTCGATGGCAGCGACGACTGTTGGCAACTCGACCGTACAAATCTGGATCTGCCGCGGGAACCACCGAACCATGGTAGAAGGCACGACTGCGGTGGATCGTCAACCCGATCTAATAAGACTCCCCCGATCATCTCGGTTGTGCGGTTGTCGGGGCTCGTGCTAGGAGCCGACCCGTCCGTGAAAATCACCACATCTGTCTGGGCAGGCCCCGTCTCCGGGGTCGGCCGGGGATGTCGCAGAGATCGGAAGACCGGGAGGCGAAGCCTGTTTCTGTGGGCCCATCATCGTCTAGCTGCGTAGACGTCAAGGCGGGCCTCGTTCGCCCTCGACGTGCGTCTGATAAACATACATGGCCGGGAGCGGCTTCGTAGCGGAAATCGCCGTCGCCCCGGAAGCTGCACGTCGAGCGAGTGCGACTCCAGCTGGAGTGTGAAGCATTGAACCACGGCGGTGGAGCGGTGGAGTGCCGCGAACTGGGCAAACTGGTGCGCCTGGTCCGTGTGATGTCGGCAAGCGCTGCTCGTGTTGATGAGCGTGGGGCCTGAGATATGGGACACTGTGAGCCAAAACCCAGGGATGGAGATCCTCCCAAAAAAAAGATCCATCTAGTTGTTGGAGTCGCGAAAGCAAAACTCCACCCGACCGGCGTCGTTCCCGTGCCCGGTTGGTGACCCATAGCTCGCACCAGGAACGGCAGTGATCACTTGCCATGACAATTCCACATCAACCCATGAAAACGGCCACCACGACAGAGGGTCTGAGCCGACCACGCCGAGCTTTCCAGTGAGGATCTCATCGCGGAACTGCTGCTGGACAAACAGATCATTGTCCGAGCGGTAACCACGAAAAGTCCAGCAAAAAACACCTCACTCCCATGGAAGAACTTCACGTCCTCATATAAGTGGCTGACGTGTCCCGCAAAAGCGGTGAAACGAACCAAGCCACCTGTCTCAGAGCCCTTGCCATCCAGATTATAGTTCGCGAACGCCGACATGTGGAACACCGAATTCGGGGCATGACCTGCTCCCTCTCCGCCAAGACGTTGATCGAACTGGCCACATTGGAGTTCAATGTCGCTGTTCGAGCTGATTCGGAGCCCTCATCTCGAACGGGTCGCGAACTGCTGGCGCGGAAAGGCCGCGATCGCGGCTTCCTCGCTGGCGGCTCTCCCGATAGCTAGAGCCATACTGGGTGCCAGATCCCGAGACAGATCCGCGCTGACCCCATCTGCCATGACCTCAACGATCCCACTGTAGCCCAACTGACCATCTTCATCGACCGACTCCTTTGCGATCGTCGCGAGCAGAGGAAAGGCCGAGCGCGACAACACCCAAAGATACCCAAAGGAGGGAACGACATGATCAGCACAGAACATGCAGAGATCCGACATGATCCGACCTGAAACGCTGCCGCGCTGATCAAAAGATCAGAGGCGGTCGCCTCCGCCAAAAGGGCCACGACAATCGCATCTGACAATGCTGCTCCACCGAAGGGTTAAACTGATCCCTAAATCCCAACCTACCTAGCCGATGATTTAGGAACATATATGATTGGGTCGTGCTTGCTCTGGCACCCACAAGCTTCCTCAAGGATCAACAAGAAAAGCGGACCTGTTCTCCCCAGCCGCCTCTGCAGCTCGTGCCTCCTCGGGGCTCTTCAGAGTCGGACGCTAAACCATGATAAAAACCCTAAATTCGTTCTGTTGCAGTTCCTGCAATACCTGCTCGCATATGGATGCTGTGTTGCATTCACGGGGAAGACGGGATTGCTGATGGGATCTTAAATGCTGCATCTTAACCAGACATCCCAATGCAACGAATGAGGGCACACGCTGCATACAAAGCTCCCACATTGAAGTACTGCAAAACTTGAGGCCGCTTTAACGGCTCCATCTATGTTCTGGAAGCCTTGGACACCTGCAGAACATTGGCGCTGCTGTATGGCTGAAACAAAACACGCCATCGCGAGCTAGACTCCCATAAGAACTGGACCCTGCAGGCCTGAGATGCAGTCTCGACTTTCTGTCGATTTCGCTCGCGCGTTTGCAGAGGCGGCGTGCGGGCCTCGCAAAAGGCTCGCGAGCTTGCGGGCGCGGGAACTTTCGTTGCGGGATCTTGGACAAGTTGGCAAGCACCGCCTCACGTTCTGGCTCCAGGCTCCTGGTTGTGTCTGCATGGGAGCTATAAGGAAGCGTCTGATACCCTGGATAGGAAAGTTTCTTTCAGGAGAGCACAAGCCGCGCATGTTGCCCCATGGAAAGCACTTCATAGAGTCGGTACCGCACAAGCGCTCTACACAGGCTTCGAGCAAGGATAAGTCCTGTCCACTCCGAGTGCACGTTCAAAGTCGCCGTCTGAGGCCCAAGCCCTGGTCACGGCCTTCGGGCGTCGGGGCGCCGAGCTCGGCCGACCTCGAGGGTACGTGAGGAAACTCCCTCGCAGCCCCGCAAGTCCAACTGGCACATCTATTTCAAGTGCTCCCAAAGTCATCGAAGGCGTGAAGGTGCAGCCTTCACAAGACGACGTCTTCATGTTGACAGTCTGCACCACGGAGGGACCACAACGTCCAAGTGCGCCGAAAACATGTTGTATATCCGGTCAACTTCTTTCCTATGGTGCTTGCCCCTTTTGATGGCTATTATGGTTGCGCTTGCCGGGCTTGGTCCAGGTGTCACGGCTGAGTGCTGAAAGAAATTCGGATCTTGAGTGACATACCCGGAACGTTGGTTGTTGCTGTCGATACAAAGGCCCTCATGTGGCGCAGAGACACGCGGACTACGTGATAAACCCAAGCCAAGAATCTCGGAAGGCCTGCAGAGCATGTCCGAAAAGTGATAACGACTGTGGGCCCGAGGATCTGCTTCCCTGGTACAACTTTCAACGCTCCACAAAACTTCAAAACAGCTGGCCTGCAGGGGCGGGGGTGCCTCGCTGGAGAATCGCCACTCTGCCTCAATACCACTCCGACGATCTCGAATTTGGATTCAGATGGGCAACAGGCAAAGTTTAAGGTTCATCGCCTTAGCAGGAAGATTCATCACGGCATCGTGCATGCTAGCTGCTAGCTGCTAGCTCGTTTCGTACGATGACGGTGCACCACCCATCGTCAAAGCATTTCGCTGTGCGCGATCACTCCCGCCACGCATGCCCTTCTCATCCTTCTCAGCTGCATGCACGTCTGCCCGTCGCTTTTGCATCACACGTGCGGCTCTTGGGGGCTGTGTCTGGCAGCAAGCGATCGATGGATCTCGAAAGATTGGGAGACATTTGGGTCACGTGGTCTGGCTTACAATCTTGTTGGCCACGACCATAACTCCCAGCTTCCTGGTTTTAGCTCGGAACTAAGCCGAAAGCCGAGTGCCCCGAGTGCCACGCCAGCGTTCGGGCTCAAAGCCGGGCTGCGGCCTGGGCCCGGGCACGACGGGCTCGGCGAAGAGCCACGGTTGCAACATAGCGCTTTTCATATGGGGGGGGTCTCTATTTAATAGTTGGTATATAGGTATTTTGGGCTTATAGGGTTGCAGTATGACTTCAGGTTGCGTAAATCATGTGCCTTCACTGGCTAAGCTATTTCCGTAAGAACGAGGGCACACAGGCTAATCCCATGCTTGCATCATCATGTAGTAACAATGTAGTACGCCCAGACCACCCGAACTATTTCAATTAGTTTAGACCTTACGTCGGTGTTGTTACCCCAGACCCCTTCAAGGAAGCATTGTGCCGTGCCCCAAAAAAGCGCGGCCCACAACTGATGATGGCTTGGTGTGGGATTGTAGGTCCTTACGGCCTGCACCGCCGCTGACAGAACATGCTTTCCCACAAACAAACCGTCCTTCGCCTCGCACCGGCACTACAGGAACAACATCGTTTTGAGGAACATGCGTGGTGCACCGGAAGATTGGCTGTCTCGGCAATTTAGGATTATCGGGTATACTGTTTTAAGTAAACTTTGGGGGTGGTGAGGACCAACACGGCCAAGAGTCAAAATTGCTTGCAGCATTGTCTGTGCAGGGATGTGCAGGGAATTGGTGAAAAAACAACATCCGGGAGTGATAAAAATTCAACTATACTCAACTGTACGTAGCTGCGTGCGGCAAGAGCTCTCTCCCGTAGCGAGGGGCGCGACAAATTCAGGCAGGCAGGCAAGATCAGGCAAGGGGGCCCTAGGCAAGAAACCAGGGCCAAGGACCAGAAACCCGTTAGAGACACCCTCGGCAAACCGCGACGCGAGACTGTGCGAGAATGGAAGACGAAGGCGGCGACAGCACGAAGCATGGGGGCAGGGACTAGAACCCTGACCGCCCGCTTTTGCAAGCTGCCGTGCGCCTAGAACCCCAGTCTGTCACTGTGCGTGAGCTGGGATGCCTCCGGGCTGCTTGACAGACCCCCCCACAATGCCAACTGCCCACGGGATCTGTAGCAGTCTGGTTGCTGAGAATACTCCCTTTGACAAAATGTGCACCTATACGCACTCGGACAAACCAAGGCTGAACGATGCCAACAGTCATCGTGGTCCGATTGCATTTGATGTGATGCCAAATGATGTCAACTTGATTCCAATGCTAGGCAATAACAAACAACCATGTGGGGTTCTAGGCTTGGGCCCGCACCATAACAACACATTTCAGAGGTAGGTATATCAAACCGACATCCGGGTTTGATGCCGCCCACACATATACACAAACAAAACTATGCACAAAAAGGACAAGAACAAAAACACAAACACATCTGCCATTCGGAACGGACTTCGGAATCTCGGCTCGCCACATAGCAGTGCAGGCCTCAGCGTCTGTGCGATTGAACAGTCTCACACCCAAGCCAGGGATGCAACAAAACCTTCTGACTGATGTCCATCAGATTTTGTATATAGGAGGAGTGTTATCCCTACTGGCAGCAATCGCAGAGGTCAGCCCCATGACACGAGCACTCGCTGCCAGTGACAAGGGCCAAACTGGGTGCCCATGGGCTCAACTGCACGCGACCTGAAGCATTCGAGTCCAAAACAAGGACTCCGGGTCTTGCCTATAGGCGATAACAAGGACAGAACATTGTGCTCTTCACGGTGTAGGCTACACAAGAGCTTTTCGAATTCCGACCTTCAATTGCGACTTCCCATCTCTTTCCAGCTCTGGCTTTACTGGGATCGTGCTGCAGGGGGAGCTGTTGAAGCTTGAGAGATCCTGTCCAGGTGCAGGGCCTCCAGGAGTAGCATGGCCTGGGAGACGACGAGGCCGGGCCTTGCTGTTTCGCACAAGCGGGACCGTAACCGTGGACCGCGGCAATCAGGGCACTATGCTCATTTCAAAACCTTCAATCCCACGAACCTTTGATGCAAGCTCAGCCATGGGGGCCTGTAAACCACTGTACACACTGACACCTGTCCACAAAAGACGCTGCTGAGGTATGGACGTCCGTAGCGCTCTGTGAGGATGCCGCTTCGGATCACCTGGCACATCGGGCTTTCGGATCTCTGGCTAAGGAGGCTCTGGCGAAGCTTCGGACTTTCAATTTGGACACTTTCCCCTCCGTGGCTCCATTAGAAGCACCGAAGCCCTGAGCCCTCGCAGTCTGACAATCTGTCCTTTTGCCTGCGTTGGCCCACTGAC